ATTTTTATAGTATTTTGTTAGAAAATAGAATACTTTCAAATGTCGTACAAATGGGTTTATCATGAAAGTGTGAAAAATCTTTTCTCGGGTACTTCTGCTATTAAATTAAAGAATATTTCGTTGCCAAAGTTGAAAAATATTTTTTGGTCTCGAACTTTACGCTGTTTGAAAGACTTGAAGAATCGAGCAAATATTATTTTGAACTTTCTTAATAAAATACGCAACTACCACCGTGCGGAAAAGTTCGTCTTACTCCCGTAAGACTCTTTATTTTTAATCACATTTTCAATATTTAATCAAATTAAGGTTACGATCGTGTTGTCGAGATACTGATAAAATATGGTGCTGACGTAAATATAAGAAAAGATGACGGATGGACACCGTAAGTAGAGATACTATTTGAGTCCCGTTCTTGAAATTTTTTGTGAAATTTGTTTAATTATTGCATCTTTTATTTGAACTTTAGATTAAATATGGCTGCAAAAAAAGGTGACTATTTTTAAGATGAACCGAATGTTTTGGAAAACTTTCCGAAAATATTTCTTAAAATTTCAACATCATTTTCATAGGTTATCTGCGAATTGTTGAACTGCTACTTAAAGCAGGTGCAGATATCAACATTCAGACAAATGACAAACAGACTTCGTTATACATCGCGACTTCGGCTGGTTCGATTCATTTTTTTATATATGAATTCAATTCGCTTTCACTTACGAATCAAATGACAATTTTTTTCACATTCAAAATTCAGGTCATGAAGATGTCGTTTCAATGCTACTCGAAAAGGGTGCTGATGTTAACATTCAAGAAATTTATGGATCGGCACCATTGCATAAAGCAGTCGAAATAAGTATTAAGACTGATGAGGAAATTTACTTACGTTTTTTTCACGAAATTTGTCGATTTTCATTCAGGTTTTGTGGAGATCATCGGGTGTTTACGGAGAAAGGGAGCCAATGTTCATTTAAAGAATGGAAAGAATGAATCCGCTTATGATATTGCTGTTAAGCAAGGTACTGATAATAATTATATTTGTCAAATTGTCGTCAATTTAATGATTTTTTTTTTATTTTACTCAGGAAATAAAACAATCATCGACATTCTGGTTCCTTCAATGAAGTAAGTAAAATTAATTTGATGCTTGGTAACAAGTCAACCATTTTAATAATTCAAGCTTCGTATTTTCTGTATTAAACAATGAATTTCTAAATAATGTTTGTTACAGACCATGGAAAAAACTTCATAAGGCGGCTCGTGATGGTAAATAATAATTGAAATCTCTTACATTTCAAA